GTTAAAAACCTTCCCTCAATGCTTTTAAAAAAAATTGGCTTAGGTAATTTTTTTGGCTTTGTTTGTTTATTTTTCTTTTTCTGTTTTTATGGTATGTTTTAATGTATTCCATTTGTTAGTGTTGTTTTAAGTTCAATATAATAATAAGCTTTATTTCCTCAAATATTCGCACCTCAGCCCAATCATGGTTTGTCTGTTGTTGGTGTAGACTCACAAACTGTCTCCCTACTACCACCTTTCAAAACAGATCTCCTCCCTTCCCTGGGTATGACAATAAACTCTATCAAGTCAGCACCTGACCCCAGCAGTAGGAAGGGGAATACCCCTACCTTCGCTCAGTACTACGTAAATAAAACAAGAGTTACTTAATTTCATTTATGTCATAAAATTTAATAGATCAGAAATAGTAGGAGGCCCGGGTAGCCTACCTGGCAGCTATAGGCCTATCTAAAATTTGTTCCTTGAGTCTTTAAAATAGGTCTAGAATATTTCTATTAAACTTTCAGTTTGTTGTGTTTATGAGGTTCCATTGATTCAATGAATTCCTTAATTGTTCACACTTAATATTGAATTTGAAGTAACTTTCTTCAGGGTCTAACTAAGCTTGTTTTACGAAAGTATTTTTCAATTACAAGTCAATTTTTATCACGGTGAGCAATGTATTCGCGATGGTGACGAAAATGATGAGGAATTTTTTTTTGCACACGAACCTAAAAAAAAAATAATGCCGAGCATCCAATAATACAAAAAATTATCGAAATCCAACATAAATAAATAGTTAATCTTTGTAGCTACTGTACAATACCATGCAGCTACTCTGCACTATTTCTATGCGCTCTGCCTTCATAAAAAAATGTCATCAAAACATACACTATGCTCATTTTTTAAAAAATTTATCCAAGATTTTTTTTATTTATTTAAACATCCAAGACTTGCTAAAAATGCCAATATCCACCTTATTTAAGTAGACCAATGGTTGTTAGCATGATAATAGGAAGTTGTGATGCTGATTGTTGTTCGGATTCCTGACTAGGCCCTAGTAAGCCTGGATGAAGTAGACTTACTACTAGTGACAGTTTGTAAAATACGTACTCAGATTGATAAAACATCTTTGTCTAAATAGCGGATCCATGGGATTTTTAAATATGATTTCATTTTAACTAAAAATTAAAACGGGAATTCTACACTTTGTTCCACCTCAATTTCCCCTCTTTCCCCAACGTTTTCTCTTTCAAGTTGTGTTTGTAGTGATATTAACACCACCTGTGTAAAGTATGCATAAAATTTAATAGACCAGGAACAAAAATGTATTATCATACTTACTTCTTTCTGAATATCCTTGTTTGCTCCTGATTCAATGAGAAGCCTACAAATATCAGTATGACCATTCAAAGCACTCTTATGCAAAGCCGTAAAACCACTCTACATATTATAGAAAAATGGATAAAAACGTTTAATAAGTGAGCACTTTTCATTTGTAATCACATATCACTCTTATGGTATCAGGTGATTATATAAAAATATATCAAGATTATGGATCCTAAAAAATAAACAACTTAATCAATTAGCATATAAAATACATCAGATTTAATTCATAAAATTTAATAGACCAGGAACAAAAATGTAACAGCATTGCACTTTCTTTCAAAAACATCTCTATGACCATTTTGAGCACTTACGTACAATGCTGTTGCCCCATGTTACGTGTTACAGAAATATAAAAATAATTAGTAAGTGAGCACTTTTCCTCATAACACTCCTATGGTATATGATACAGTTGGGGTACATAATTTATTTCCTAATTATCGTACAACCAAAGACAAAATTTGTCCATTTGCAAGAATATCAAATAAATTTCAGTCTCTTAAATATATAATATACGGAATCTAGAAAGTCAAGTAGAAATTGGAGTAAGTTAACATGTTCTCCAGTGTTTTAGTGAAGTAGACGTGTACCATTCATCAGATATTTTTTATTTCATTTTATCTTTTTGCTTTGCTACTTTTCTCATGACCAAAGAAGTACTATTAGGCGTGATCTACAAATTATCCCCAACAACAGAAACGGGTCAAACACGTTTACTATTGTTATATGACAAGCTCCCAAACGCGTCTGTGAAATGCCATTTGGAAGCTTGTCGTTCGAGCAGTTTATTCCGTTTGGTAGTTAACACCTCCCCTTTTCATATGGCTGACTGCTCGTGAATGGCAAAATGTTAAACGCGTTCAGCGAAATTTGGAATTTGATCGTGATTTAAACAACTTCAAAACTTGTTCCGTGTCCCTACCGTACCTAGGCTATGTAGGCCTAGGCCTATATTTATAATAGTAGTAGCCTGGTAGTAAAATGCTAGCCTACGCTAGGTGACAGTTCACGAAGAAATGTTTATAATAAAGGCCTAAATTTAATTATTTTTCTTGTTGGGGAAACCCCAATGTTTCTTGTATTTTAGTAGGCTAGGCCCTACCGTTACTTGTAGGTTTTATAGAAGAAAAAGCAATCGCCAGTAACCTTGCTACCCAGATTATATTGTGCGATGTTCGAATTGACCTATCAAAACAAGTACCTTTTGCCCAACTTTCTAATTCCCACGTGCCTGCACAGCCTGCACAATACAGCAATTATCGAAATCCAACATAAATAAATAGTTAATCTTTGTAGCTACTGTACAATACCATGCAGCTACTCTGCACTATTTCTATGTGCTCTGCCTTCATAAAATAATGTCGTCAAAACATGCACTATGCTCATTTTTTTTTTTATTTATCTAAGATTTTTTTTATTTATTTAAACATCCAAGACTTGCTAAAAATGCCAAAAAAAGTACTAAAGCCAAATAAAGGAAAATTCATTTCTTGCCATCAAAGAATCAAACTTTTCCAAACCCCCGTTTTGTTTGGGGTTGAGATCGATACATTGAAGAAAGAATAGGCCTATGTATGCGGCGACTCAATCTTTGTCATGTACTGTACAGTATATATACACACATAATAGGGTTACTAGTATTTAATGTAATAAGAATGAGATAGCTTACCTGACCGTTTTCAAGATAAAAGGGGGAAAACCTATAGGAACATTTGAAGAATTTAAAAATCATTAAAAGACACCTCAGATGTCGGGAAAGCTCATTTCCTGCCATCTAGTGATCAAAATTTTCCTCGGGAGAACCTGGATCCCCTTTTTTTTAAGTTAAAAGATTCATGAAATCGTTTTCAAGAGGGGAAAACCTTGAATTTTGAATTTTTTCCCCCTCGGGTGATACCCCCGGAACCCCTATATATGATATTAATTTATGGATTCATGAAAAAAAAGAATACGTATGTATGCAACTTACTCAATTTTTTATGTATGTATGAACACACACATAAACAGGCCTATTTACTATAATAAGAATAAGAAAGTTTACCTGACTGTTTTCAAGATGGGGAAAACCTTGAATTTGAGGAACTTAAAAGTGACTATGAAAGACACCTCAGAAGTCTGGAAAGCCCATTTTCCACCATCTAATAATTAAAATTCTCCCGGGGGAGGACCCCGATCCCCCCTCCCTCTTTGGAGTTTATCCATTCATGGAAAAAAAAATATGTTAGCTACTCATTTTTTTTTAATGTAATACACATTAAAAATATTTACTGTAATAAGAATGAGAAAGTTTACCTAACCGTTTTCAAGAGGGGAAAACCTTGAATTTTGTATAACTTAAGAGTCATTAAAAGACACTTCAGAAGTCAGGAAAGCTCATTTCCCGCCATCTAGGAATCAAAATTTTCAAACAAAGCACCCCCGGACCCCCTTCCATTTCATGGTTTTTATAGACAAAAGTCTGACCCCTCCCCGCAAAAGTGAACCCAGATCCGCCTCTGTTAATACAAGTTGATGGATGTTGGGAAATACGTAAAAAAATATTCTGGATTTAAGAACACTTTATTGTTCATTTTAAAATGGGAATTTGTTTTTCCTTTGTTATGTTTTGGTTAAGAAGGATAAAAAATCACACGACAAAACAACTTGGCAATGAAGAAAAATATTGAACAATTTAAAATATTAGTAAGTCAAATTAAAAATTACTGTTTAAACTGTTTAAAATGTCCTTTAAATACAAAGGAAGGGGAGAAGGACTTGTACCGACTTGCAAAACAAAGGGACCGTGCTGGAAAGGATGTGCAACAAGTACGGACTAAAATGGAAATGTGTTGACAGACCAGGTGAGTGTACTGAAAAGATGGAAGGAATACTTTGAAAGGTTGATGAATGAGGAAAACGAAAGGGAGCAACGGGTGGAAGAGGTAGATGAAGTAGATCAAGATATACCACTAATTAGTAAGTATGAAGTGAGAGAAGCTTTGAAGAAAATGAAAAATGGAAAGGCTGTTGGTCCTGATGATATACCGGTAAAGGCATGGAAGTGTTTGGGAGAGTTTGCGGTAAAGCTTCTGGCAAATCTGTTTAATAAAATCTTGGACAGTGGGAAAATGCCTGATGAGTGGAGAAAGAGCATTATTGTGCCCGTTTTTAAAAACAAGGGTGATGCACAAGACTGCAATAACTACAGAGGCATAAAACTGCTCAGTCATAGTATGAAACTGTGGGAAAGAGTAGTGTAAGCCAGGATCAGAGGAGCAGTAAGGATTTGCGATCAGCAATTTGGCTTTATGCCTGGTAGAAGCACCACAGACGCACCGTTTGCCTTAAGAATGCTGATAGAAAAATATAGGGAAGGTCAGAAGGAGCTGCACTGTGTGTTTGTTGACTTAGAAAAAGCTTATGATAGGGTACCAAGTGGTATTGCATGAGAAAGTCAGGAGTAGCAGAAAAATATGTGACGCTTGTTCAGGACATTTATCAAGGTAGCACCACAGTAGTGAGATGTGCCATAGGAACAACGGAGGGTTTTTCAGTTGAAGTGGGTTTACACCAAGGCTCGACACTGAGCCCTCTCTTGTTTTTAGTTGTGATGGATAGATTAACAGATGAGATAAAGACAGGAGGCCCCATGGACTATGTTGTTTGCAGATGATATAGTTATATGTGCAGAGAGACGAGTACAGGTTGAAGAGATTTTGGAAAATTGGAGATATGCCTTGGAAAATAGGGGAATGAAGGTCAGTAGGAGAAAGACTGAGTATATGTGCGTAAATGAAGGAGATCAGAGAGAAATGGTGACCCTGCAAGGTTGTAAAAGTGGAGGAGTTTAAGTACTTGGGATCAACTGTTCAGAACAATGGCGGGTGTGACAAGGAGGTCAAGAAACGAGTGCAGGCAGGCTGGAATGGGTGGAGAAGAGTAACTGGTGTAATCTGTTATAGAAGGGTGTCGGCAAAAATGAAGGGGAAAATCTACAAAACAGTGGTAAGACCAGCTATGGCGTATGGTTTGGAGACAGTGGCCCTAACTAAAAGACAGGAGGAGATGGAGGTTGCAGAATTGAAGATGCTACGCTTCTCCTTTGGTGTAACAAGAAAGAATAAGATCAGAAATGATTTCATTAGAGGATTTGCTCATGTAAGGCGATTTGGGGACAAGTTGAAAGAGGCGAGGCTGAAATAGTATGGCGATGTATGCAGAAGAGACATGGAATACATTGGAAGGAGGATGTTGAAAATGGAGCTACCAGGTAGGAGAAAAAGAGGAAGTCCTAAGAGGAGGTATACGGACGTGATAAGGGAGGACATGAAGTAACTAGGTGTGAATGAGGAGGATGTGATGAACAGGACGAAGTGGAGACGACTTGTTTGCTGTGGCAACCCCTGAAAGGAGAAGCCGAAAGAAGAAGAAACTGTTTAAAATGTACTATGTGTATCTCAGAAACAGACCAGCCATTTTAGTAAACGACAGCGTGCTAATAGACCTTTCCGGGCTGTCAATCAAACTTCCAAGTAACCAATCAGAACAAGGCATATATGCGCTGTTTACAAACACGTTTTCCACACAAACACACACGAGTTACGAGTTTGTGCAGTGCGAGAAGCGACGTCGATGATATGACTATGCAGTAGGAAACCTTTACCATGAAGCCAAAAAAAGAGAAAAAAAAATTGCCTAGGCCTACTGTCAGTGGAATATGGCTTGTGGAAGACGGCATGTCCTATATTTCAACAGGGTAAACAAGCATACAGCTCAACGGTAGGATTTCATTTATTTAAGTTAAGTGAGGCCTACAAAAATAATCGGGTCGCGTCGGGGTTGGCCTAGCCATTGCCCTATTCCGATGTCGATCTTCTCCAATGCCTAGGCCTACATTTTAAGATATTCGACCTCAGCAGCTGCATTCCGCGATGGATCGCGCCTGATCTCAGGACATAGGGCCTGGTATTAATTTTTCTAATAAATTGTGATCTATAAATAGATTGAGGAAAATATTCAACAGTAAATGACAATGCAGGCCTTACCTAGGAAGCTTAGATTAGGCCAATGTAGGCCCTAAAATGTATTTAAATCCTTAGCCTAGCTGCCTCTAATATGCATGAGATTTTTGTGTTTTGTACAAATCATTAATAAATACAATATATACTTTTTTTCACAGCATTTTGTTATTGGAAACTATTGAATATCCTGACCCAGTAAATGCAGATGGAACAGTACCAAC